TAGAGCCCGGAGTGTGTAGTCCTCCCTGGCCATCCTGGTCCCACGCTGGGCTGGAGGCGCTGTCTCCAAGGCGGGCCGTGGGCGTGTGGACGAGAGGAATGTGAGTGGCCTGCGGTGGCCGGCGCAGGAGGAACTGGCCAGGGCCCGTCACAGCACGAAGAAGAGGACCAGCACGACCAGCAGGACCGCGAAGAGGACGACTATGGCACACCACTGGCGCCGGTCTGCAATTCAGGACAGGGGTCAGCACCACAGCCAGAGACCCTGCACCCCCATCACTAGGAATGACGAATGACGGGACATGACAGGACCGGGTGGGAGTGGGGGTTGGGCTCTTTAGCTCCCATCCCGGCTGCACTTCAGGTATGCCTGCCAGCCCCGGAACACACGCCCCTTAATAAGTATGTGCCGTGTTGCAGGCCTTTAATTACACTCTGTGCATCTTAGCCTCCTCAGGGTGGCTCTGTATCCCTGGAAAAATGGCTGGCACGGATCCTACAGATCAAAGCCTGCCTGCTTTCCTCCCTGCCTCCGCGGTCAAACCATCCAATTCAACGGTCATCTTTCTACCCCAGGATGGAACGTGTGGAGGTCACTCCGAAACCCAACAGCTGGAAGTCAGCACGCGCAGAGTGACCCTGCACCGAGGCTGGAGAAGCGAGCGTACTTAACCAGGAGCCACACTGGACTGAGATGCGCTCAAGCTGCGCGGGACACACCGCTCCAGCCCCTCAGAGGCGCACGCATGGGCAGGCAGCATGGATGGGCTCCCAACCCGGTGCTCCAGCTCGACAGCACCTGCCTGTGAGCTGATGTGAGCATCAAACAGGCACACAGGCCACGTGGTGTGCAGCACCCTCATCCGGGGCTTGACAGAACAGCAGAACAGGCAGCTTCCCACAGATGGGTCCTGGGGTGGCCCATATAGGGTCAGCTGGAGAGAAGAATTTCTGTTGTCTGTGAATGTGCCCATCACCCACCAGGAACGAGGCCCACAGAAACAGACATGCTGACCCAGACTGAGCCAGCAGAAACCCACGGATTTCAGGACAACATAGCCCCCTGAATCGAAGGTCTTCAACATTCCCACAAAGCAATGTTAACTGGATTAACATGTACTTTAAAAAGCGGGTATAAATATCATGGACATCGAAGTCTTACAGCTGATCATGAGAACGGAGCCTAAATTATAGTGTATACTCTTCTCAGTGGCGACCACCCCGCTCGCCACGTCAGGCATGTGAGAAGCTCGGTGTGACCAGGACAAAGGCCCCAGACGGGTCAGTCCTTCTGTGAGGTTGACCACACACCTGCAGCCTCGTGAGGAGCTGAAGGAGAGCAGTGAGGGGGGCCGCCCTCCCACGCGTCACAACAGAACCCGCCTGCCCTCGGCTTGGCCCCTCCCGCCTCTGGCTTCCCAGCTGCATGACGGGGGTTTTCATCGGAGAGAAAAGCCTCGCACAAGCAGACACGACCCAAGAATGCTCTTTTAGGGCCACTTTCCTTTGAAGTGGGAAGTTGCTTCTAGAAGCATGAACCAGAGCGCCCCGGGGATTTGCTTCACTGGCAATCTGCTCCCTGTACTTCTTACAGAGCTCATGCAGAGGAGTGGGTATTAACCTTAAGAGCATTTACCACCTCAAGGGAAAAAATGTTAACCCGCTCTGCAAGCTCAGATGCAGTCTCACAAACTCAGGGGGAAGCAAATGCACTCGGATGCTAGTTCTGCGCAAGTCCCTTCCCTGCCAATGTACTTCTTTGCCCCAAAAAGATGTGCAGCAGAATGTGGGAAAGGGAGGGGATACGGTTCAATATCTGCTCAAAAGAATCCGTTTTCCCTGGGCAGAAGGAAGAGAGGTTACTTTATTTTCTCCTGAGTGACCGGGAAAAGTGAGTTTGGAGAGAGATGCTGGCTGATCTCCTGCCCGGCCACTGGGAGGAGAGACACACTGGGCCCCACATCCGCTTCAGCAAACATCAGTGGGTCGTCGGTACTTTGTCATGATGGGCAGATTAGGTTAAGAAACAGCGAACTTGTTCAAACGTTCCGAACAAGAACAGAGGCAGATACAAAAAAGTCCTGGTTGTTAAACTGAAACAGACACCACTGAGCAAGAGATCAGTAAGCAATGCTGCCTCAACAGCAGGCGAAGATGAAGAGATCCACAGGCGAACTGCTCCTGGTGCAGGGGACTGCCTTCGTATGGCCTTTCTAGCCCTGTCTTCTAACTCTCACCCAGTTACTGGGTGCGGCCAGACTGAGCTCAAACAACGGGTGGGCAGTGGTGTGGGGACCACGACCAACAAGGGCAGAGCACGTCCTCTGGACCCCAGGTCCCTGTGCTGAGACCCTCCTAGACAAGGAGACAGAAAGAACACTACAAGAGATACAGTGCGGGGCAGCAGAACCAGGAGACAGCACCACACAGTACAGTAGGCGTCCCAGCCGCAGCGTGGGGGAGGCTGAGCACCTTCTCTCTGAGCAGGGTGCTCTGGGCACTTCGCGGGAAAGCGGAAGAACTTTGTAACCCTTTTCTGAGCAGGGTTGGGCTGAGAACAGAGAAAGACAAAGAGGCCTGCCTGTGGCAGAGCTGAGAAGCTGTCCTGACTGAAGCACCAAGAGCTATCCTGAGTTGTTCCTGCTCCCGAACTGTGCCCTGCTTCTTCCTTAATAACTCCTGTGTGGCACTGTCACCAATGATGGAAGCTAGCCGAGGGTGCGGGAGGAGGGACTGCTGCTGTCTGACTTGGGAAAGAGGTCAGAGAGGGGAAGCAAGCCTGACCTCTGCCTCACAGCAATCGGCCTTAAGTGAAGGTTGAATTTCTTTCCTCAAGGGGACCTTAGAGGTGGTCAGACAATCCCATTTTTTCACTGTCAAAAGAGGAAGGCCTTTCAGGCCAACTTCTCTTATTTTCTGGCTCTCTTTCTTATACAAATACAATCAAAGTTTTTGCTTTCTTCACCAAACTTTTCTTCTGGGAGAGAGTAGACTAAGCGTTAAGTGAGGCTCCATGCTATTTATACACACTGCACTGCTCACCACAATGCAAGTGCTTGTCTAAATTATTCATGCCAGACTGCAGGGAGACAGGCACAGTGCGTCTTTGTGCCTGTGCTCTTCCCCAGACAAACTGCTGCTGCTCGAGGGGCTGCCTGACTTTGTGGCTAGTACCCACACCAGCGAGAGGCCTGCTGTTTACACTGGCTACGTCTAGAATACTCTAGCAAAATCTGTTTCTTAAAAGTAGAGGGGTAGGGGTTGAAGAGGAAAGAACAGGGAAAAACAGAAAGAAGCCTTTGCAAACCTCTCTCTGCATCAAAGACGAACTGAGCTGCTACCTGCTTCTCACGGAAGCCCAGCTTCAGGCAAAGTAGAGCCTGCCTAGAAGCAGAGATGCTTGCTTGTGGGATGGGAGGAGCTAACACCAGCTCAGAACGGCCCTTTATTTTGGATAAGGGCCTGTGGTGGCACAGCAGGTTAAGCACTGAGCTGCCACCTGCTCCTGTACAGATTACAGGCTTGGAAGCACTGTGGGTCACTCTCAGTCAGAGAGGATTCAACAGCCATGGGCTTTATTTTGGAGAGGACAGGCCCCTTTGCCCTGCA